AATGGGCAGAAGACATAAATAGACGTTTCTCCAAAGAAGACATACAGATGGCCAAGAAGCACACGAAAAGCTGCTCAACATCACTAATTATTAGAGAAATGCAAATCAAAACTATAATCAGGTATCACCTCACACCAGTTAGAATGGGCATCATCAGAAAATCTACAAACAACAAATGCTGGAGAGGGTGTGGAGAAAAGGGAACCCTCTTGCACTGTTGGTGGGAATGTAAATTGATACAGCCACTATGGAGGTTCCTTAAAAAACTGAAAATAGAATTACCGTATGATCCAGCAATCCCACTACTGGGCATATACCCAGAGAAAACCATAATTCAAAAAGACACATGCACCCCAATGTTCATTGCAGCACTATTTACAATAGCCACGTCATGGAAGCAACCTAAACGCCTTTCAACAGATGAATGGATAAAGAAGATGTGGTACATATATACAATGGAATATTATTCACCCATAAAAAGGAACGAAATTGGGTCATTTGTTGAGACGTGGATGGATCTAGAGATGGTCATACAGAGTGAAGTAAGTCAGAAAGAGAAAAACAAATATCGTATATTAACCCATGTATGTGGAACCTAGAAAAATGGTACAGATGAACCAGTTTGCAGGGCAGAAGTTGAGACACAGACGTAGAGAACAAACGTATGGGCACCAAGGGAGGAAAGCTGCGGGGTGGTGGGGATGGTGGTGTGATGAATTGGGAGATTGGGATTGACATGTATACACTGATGTGTATAAAATGGATGACTAATAAGAACCTGCTGTATAAAAAAATGAATTAAATAAAATTCAAAAAAAAAAGACACATGAACCCCAGTGTTCATTGCAGCACTATTTACAATAGCCAAGATATGGAAGCAACCTAAATGCCCATCGAGAGATGAATGGATAAAGAAGATGTGGTACATATATACAATGGAATATTACTCAGCCATGAAAAGAAACGAAATTGGGTCATTTGTAGAGATGTGGATGAATCCAGAGACTGTCATACACAGTGAAGTAAGTCAGAAAGTGAAAAACAAGTATCGTATATTAACACATGTATGTGGAACCTAGAAAAACGGTACAGATGAACCGGTTTGCAGGGCAGAAATTGAGACACAGATGTAGAGAACAAACATATGGACACCAAGGGGGGAAAGTGGTGGCGGGGCTAGTGGTGTGATGAATTGGGAGATTGGGATTGACATGTATACGCTAATAGGTATAAAACGGATAACTAATAAGAACCTGTTGTATAAAAAAAAATTAAAGAGATTAGGAGTCTGTACATATGGGGGGCAGGAAGTATATGGGAAATCTCTGTACGTTCTGCTCAATTTTTCTGTGAACCTAAAACTGCTCTAAAAAATCAAGTCTATTAAAAAAAAAATGAAGCATTTAAACTCACATCTAAACAGTGCTTTACAAAAATTATTGAGCGCTTCCTGAATATAAAACAGCTAAACCTGTTGCTGTTTTGTAGCTTTATGTGATTTTGATGGGATCTGGTTGTGAAATTAAGATGTGAGAATCTCACTGATCTGTATCAAATATTACCTTGCCATTTGAGAATAAAACAATTTATAACCTCCCCCAGGAAGGCATGCTAATTTTTAACATGTGTTTCTCTTTTTATGTACTAATGAAAAGCTCTTTCACACTTTAAGGTTGGTGTGAAAAAGTAAATAAATAAAAGGACATATGAGCCCCTGACCCCACTGTGGATTTAGTCAAGATGTAAAAACAATATTGATTGTGGAGTTTGGAAAACAGGATTATTGGTTTCGTGGCAGTACTGAAATCTGGAGTATTTGGAAGATTCCAGCTAATCAACTGGAACAACAATCGTTGTCTGTCATGTATCCTTGTCAACACTTTAAAGATAGAAAAAAAATAGAAACATGGACCTATGGTTCTTTATATCATGCCTAACTGTTAACAAAGAAACAGAACAACTCTTCATAAGTCATAAAGGTTAAGGATGAATCTGGATATTGTTCTGTGTACCTGACCGTGTGATCCTCACGTGTCTCGGAATGAGGTAGATGAAGTATGTGTGTATAGATAATCAAATTATGTACATGCATATTTTTGTGTCTTATAAGTGAAGAAACTGGTTAAGGTAATTCTCCAAGGTCGTACAACTTAAAGAGTCCCCTCCTCCCAGATCTGACTCAGAACTGGTATGTTTCTGTTCAGTTTAACTGACATTTTCTTCTTTACTATGTGCCGAACACTATGTTGGGCACTGCAGACATGAAAGTGAGTAAGACATAGTTGTCATCCTGAAGGAAGTTGTAGTATAGCAGAAAATACAATTTTAATACAGTGATAAGTTTTCTGATAGAACTGATACTCTGTCTTGTGCCAAGGTAAGGGAGAGCTTTTAGCTTAGTCTGAAAGTCTAGGAAAATCTTCTCAGAAGTGAACCCCTCACTTGAAAGATGAATAAATAGTGTAACTCATAAAAGAGGTATATCCTAGTTTTCTCTGAGTCCTCTGCAGTAGTGATCTGCTTTATAGAATGTCACATTATAGTTATCAGTGTCTCTAGGTGTGTTGATATTTAGGGGTGGCAGTACATAGTAGAAAATATACTCTGGTTATTTCATAGAAGTGTCTTGAGTAAATTCCTTCCTTTTCCCCCAGCTTCACCACCACTACCAAGAATGGGTGGCGAAATTTCCATGGTATAGGGTCACATTTGTTTCTTCCAGGCCCTCCAGAAAGAAACAGTTTGTCAGGGGAACTCGGAAAGGGCTTTTTGGACCAGATCTCTTTAAGAAGAAAATTAAGTGCCCCTAGGGGAAGTATCTTGGAAAATTTTAAACTGCCTCTGTGAACTTGGACTTTGAAGGATAGCTCTTGACAGTGCTTGCTGTGGGTAAATCCTGACTGCCTCCTCTGACTTTAGCTGTGGTGATCGCCTGCCTTTTCTTTAGCACTATTGGTCGGGCACACGTTCCTCTGTTCCTCTAGCCTCCTGACTGACTTCCAGCTCCCACCTTTCCCTGACCTGCTTGCCTGGTTCTTTTCCCGCCACCTGACCTGCCATAACCTCAGATTCAAGCTCTGACCTGCTAACCTGGACAGTGCACTCCCAGCCTGCTGGCTGCCAGACACAGTCAGCCTGTCCCCCAACCCTGCCCTGGGCCAGAGTGTCTGACTGCTGGGCAGCAGTGACTCGCTCCACCTTCCCCCCACTACACATACAGGCGGGGCACACCAGCATCTCATGAGGACGGTCACAGCCAAGGCTAGAAAGGGAAGGAAGAAGGAAAACCTGTTAGGGAAGGTCGGGGCGGGGGGAGGAATCTAGTAAGTTTAAAGACAGCCCTCAAAAGTTCAGTCAGTCAGTAAGTAGTTGAGTGCTTCTGTGTGTCAGGCATGTGCTGGGTTATAGGAGTATAAGATGAATAAGGAGGATATTTGGGATTATAAAAAACTGTTGATATGAAGCACTTTTACAGCATGTTTTTATCACCCTGTTATCATACTTGTCACATAGTTTTTATGCTATGTAAGGAAGTTTTTTGTAACTAAACTCTTATTTTTTGTAGCTAAACTCTTAGTATTATCCTAAGTTAGCTTCCAAGGTTATTGTACCCCAAATACCATTTGTAGTTTGAAGTTGAATTATACTTATATGACCTGCGAATTTAGGGATTTCAGGCAATGTAAGTTCTAATGTAAAATCTTACATGTGATTGTATTGAAACAGAAGGAATGATTTCCTGTTCTTGGCAAATGCTGTCATATTCTGGAAGCAAGACTGTCAGGAAAATGATGAAGTTTGCCAAATGTTATGTTCAGTTTGTGAAAAGAGACTGTGAGGCATTTTGTGAGCCTTCACCTTTAGTGTCATCTGGCCATTTGGAAGCATTGGTCAGGGATGGGTGGCAAAGTCAAAAGCTTTTAAAGACCAAGCAGGTAAATGCACTGTGTTAGGGGTGGAGCAGTGAATACAGATGAGATATTTAAAATAATATTATCAGATATCATTGTAAAACTGCAACAACAGTGCAGTCCTGGCCAAACAGGAGGATAGATAGCAGCATTTACCTGTCGTGCTCAACTTCTGGGTGCCATTTATCCTGGGAACCAGGCTACCCTCTTAGGGGCAATTGATTGGGAGAACTGATGTACTCTTATATACAATAAGGCAACAGAAAATGGTGCCATTTCCAAGGATTCACCAAAATGTAGTCAATACTTTGTGAAATGCTACTTGTTTCCTTTTCTTCAGAATTAGAAAAGCCAATGCACATTCAATACTTATTCCAAAAAATTAAATAGGTATGGTTGTAGATCATTCATTTATAGAGTTTAAACATGTTTTGAGTGACAACACACCCACACACCCCAACATAGCAACAAAAGACCCAGCCTATTTTCTCATATTACCTGAAGAGAAAGTTTGAATTAACCACATAAAATCTCCATTCAGTAGTTGTAGTCTTGAAGATAGATTCTGCAGCAAATCAAATCAACACTCGGCAAACACTGTGAACAACTCTGAGCTCTCACTGAGTGTGCATGGCATATAATATACTACTGGGAAAAATCTCTACAGTTCGTTTAAAATATAATTGGTGATACACTGTTTGATTCAGAATCAGATAAGAATCACAATCAGATAGGGTAAGGTATAAATAAAACAGAAAAACTCATTGTAGCAGCTGGAAGAGCCTGGAAAAATTAACTCCTCTAAGGAGGAGGATTATTTCCTGGCTATTGAGGTTTTCTTATTTAGCTAGTAGTATTTCTTTTATCTGTTAGACAAATTATATATGTATTCAATTTCAAATTTAGGCATTGAATTGAGCACTTTTATTTTTCTTTAAGACTATCAGATGTTTGCCAGGAAAGGCTAATTGTGTGTTATCCATCAGTTTAAACAATAAAAAAATTCAGCCAAAAATTATATTTATTGCACAACCTATGCTCAGTGGTTTTTAACTGTATTGTCTTGATTTTTTCACAATTCTGTGCCAGGGTCTAATGGCTATTGATTGTCCTTATACTGGCATTGTGGACTATCAGCAGGTGGCTTTGTCATTTGCCCAGGATTTCCAAGAAGCAGGTGGCTCTGTTTTGACCAGTTTTGAAGTAGAAGATATTGAAATGGCTAAAGAAAGTCCTTCAAGAAGTAAAGATGGTAAGCAATCCTTGTCTTTTCTTTTGAATACTGAATTGACTTCTAAACAAACTTGGGACTGTTTTTGACTAGGGTAGCACTGGCAAGAGGGCCACCAGAAGCTAGGCTACAGTAGGGCCCAGAGCTGGAGGCAGGTACAGAAGGGGTGAGGGTGAGACCGGATATGGGAGAACTGGGACTTCTAGTGAGTCTTGTGCTGATAGAACTAGGCACTGATGGGACACTTCTGACTAGTGCTAAATCCCGAACTGCCAGGCTGTTTATGGAAAATTAGCCCGCAAACACTTCCCTATCCAGTAGGTTAATCAGAATCCCCTGGGAATGCTTGTTAAAAATGCAGATTTTAGCATCACCCAGTCTTACTGAATCAGACTGTCTGGGGATAGGGCATGACTCAGCCATTCTGAACTCCCCCTCCACCGCCCCCCCTCCCAGTTCCTTCATTGTAACCTGTACTTAGAGTTTGTTTTGTTTTGCTTTGGGGACAAAATTTTCTTTTAAACCAAATGAATTAATTTTTAAGCCTTAAATTCATTGTTGGGAAATTTGAAGGAGAAAAAAAGTAGTGTTCATTCTTTCTTGACAGGTTTTTAAGGAGATCTGGGCTATCTGAGTCATTCTCCCAGTGTCCTTTTAAATTCTAAGATGATGAGCAAAATTGTTAAATAATTGAGATTGTTAGACAGGTAGCATAATCAATCAAATCTATGATATAAGTAAGTAGATCGTATTTTTTTACCTGCTGTGCATATGCTTTATAGGTCTTTGAGATCACATGTATCTGATTGGGAACTCTTTTTTTTGTTGTTGTTGGTACGCGGGCCTCTCACTGTTGTGGCCTCTCCCGTTGCGGAGCACAGGCTCCGGATGCGCAGGCTCGTCAGCCATGGCTCACGGACCCAGCCGCTCCGCGGCATGTGGGATCCTCCCCGACCCGGGTACAAACCCGTGTCCCCTGCATCGGCAGGTGGACTCTCAACCACTGCGCCACCAGGGAAGCCCGGGAACTAATTTTATAAATAGTTTATCATTGGAAATTTTGTGTTGTGATAACTCTTGCTTCTCTATACAACTTAGAATCCGCAAGGATTCAGATAACCAAGACTTGAACAACAAGTGTCATAACATTAGTTCTGTGGGAAAATGCATACTGATTTATGATGATCCATTTTATAGCCTGTTTTCTAGGATTGCAGTTCACAGAAAAGCTGGGACTGTCTGTTTTGGAGCTGGGATGGGGAATGGTTTATAAGTATAGATTAAATGAATTAAAATAAAATATGCTAAAAGCATGCCAGAGTTTTGTATATTGTCAAATATGAACTAGTTTAATCTTGTTACTTAGTAAAAAACTTTAGAATGAAAAGTAGGAGGCAATAATGGTTATGACAGAGACAATCCTTTAAATTTATTACTAGAATAATATTTCATTTAATGTAGGCTTTCTTTTGCTAAAAATAAATCTTTCACTAATTTTTTTTCAGGAATGAAATACCCAATTGTTATAAGGAATACAAAGGTAAAGATTCTTAAGCAAAACTACTTTCATCTACTTTATCTACTGTCATCTCCTTTCTTAAAAAGGTGAATTAACCACAGTGCCGTATTTTATGTCATTGAATGAAATTTGTCTAATGTAAAAGTTATTCTGAGAGAAATCCTTTGAGAGCAGTGTAACAGCTTTCATTCTAAGAAGGCTTTCAACTTGGAAATGTCTTCATGAAGTGGTTGTGCCAGCAAAGGATAGGATTATAAGCACTTAGAGTAATAAAAACTGATAGTTTTATTGCTCTGCCTACTTATCTACATTAACTTATTAACTGTCTGCTAATGAGAAGACTTTGGGGGCAGGGAGCAGGTTGTGCAGAGAGAGATGGACTGCTTTTCTTCATCTTCTCATAGTCTAAAACAAGAATTATTGAATGGCATAGAAGCATTTCGTTAGCTGTATGTTCATCGAACGATCAGAGTTCAGTCAGGAGAGTAGAGTCATCAATGAGTATATTATAGGAATTAGGCCTTACACAATTTTATTTATTTATTTTGGCTGTGCTGGGTCTTAGTTGCGGCACGCGGGATCTTCACTGTGGCATGCGGACTCTTAGTTGTGGCATGCATGCGGGATCTAGTTCCCTGACCAGGGATCGAACCTGGGCCCCCTGAATTGGGAGCGCGGAGTCTTACCCACTGGACCACCAGGGAAGTCCCCTTACACAATTTTTAAAGGATCTGGGGAAGTGCAGGTTCAGAAGGGGAGTTGGTAGATCAGAGGCATCTCCAGCCAGTCTGAGAAGCCACGTGTGTCTAGCTGCTGAAGTGGGAATGCAAGCAGGAAGCTCATGAGGAGATATGGGGGGCTCTTGCCTCTGTCTATACCCAAGCAGTAGGCTGGAGCAGTGCCTGATCAGTAGGATCGGTAGTTGGGAAGCTGAATGTGGAGCTGTAATTTACATTGCAGTGGGTGTCTGTCACTTCATTGGACTAGAATGACCTTCAGAGAATAGTGGCTGCTGCTGTACTTCTGCCTGCCAAACCATATGCAATTCCTGTTTGGTCAGCTTTAAGCTGGAACCGTATAGGGAACCATTGTCGTTCCCAGCTTAACCAGATCGACACAGTATAACCCGCTGCAGTCCATCCCTTTTCAACTTGGCATCCATTCACACCCCTTATAACCATATTTAACTTCCAAATAAAGAGAGTAGAAAAATTATGCTTCCATCCACAAGGTGCAACTATCTTCCATACACCTGAAGACATGCTTACTCTCCAAAAAAGATACGAAGTCTACTTTATTGATCATGAATGTTCATTTCTTTTCTAGCTGAGTCACTCTCCCTCTTTGAGATCCTGCAACTTACATACTGAGATAAAAGGTTAACCACAATTTAAGCATCTTATATTAAATCAGTAGTTCTCAACGGGAGGCAGTTTCTCCTCCTAGGAGACATTTGGCAATGTTTGGAGACATTTTTATTGTCACATCTAGTAGAAGGGGGGCAATGCTACTGGCATTTAGTGGGTAGAGGCCAGGGATTCTGCTAAACATCCTACAATGTGAGAGACAGGCCCCCAGAACAAAGAGGTATCTGGCCCCAAATGTCGATAGTACTGAAGTTGAGGTGTTAGACAGTGGGGAAGTGACAGAGATGGGTGTGTTAGTCGTCTAGGGCTGCCTTAACAGAACACCACAGACGGAGTGGCTTTAACAACAGAAATTTATTTTTTCACAGCTCTGGAGGCTAGAAATCTAGGGTCAAGGTGCCATCAGGGTTGGCTTCTGGTGAGATCTCTCTTCTCAGCTTGTGGATGACTGTCTTCACACTATGTCCTTACGTGGCCTTTTCCCTGTGTGTGCACATGTGCAGAGAAAGAGCAGGAGAGAGCAACCTCTGGTATCTCTTTGTCTTATAAGAACACCATTCCTATTAGATTAGGGCTCCACTTTTGTGACCTTATTTAACCTTAATTACCTCCCTAAAGGGCCTGTCTCCAAATACAGTCTCGTTGGGCGTTAGGACTTCAACGTATGAATTTGGGGAAGACATAATTCAGTCCATAATAATGAGGATAAAGAAATAATTGGGTAATTTATAGACAAATATATTTATTTCAAAATAAGGAAGAAATACCCATAGCTACTACACTCCTCATTTCTGTCACCAGTCATGTGGTCATAGCTGATATTTATAATTTCCTTCTTCCACGACTCATTCCATAGTCCCTTTGCCCTTGGCAAGCATCTCAGTTGGTCATGGTTCCTAGTTTGGTGGGGTAACTCAAACTTGCATTCCTG